GTACCCCTGGGCCCTGGTCTTTCGTTATCGCGCCGCCGCCGCCGATGCCTGCTCAATTTATCCGGCAACGACTAACCATTATTTTTCTGTACATGTATAAATTGTTCTTGGAAATGTCACTACCTATAAAATACACCGAAGACCTAAATAAGACGTCTTGTATGGCGTGTCTTGGCGATGCGGGTTGCGATAACTGTTAAACATACTCATAAGTTAATAATATTTTCTATTTCTATTTTTAAATAACAAATAAATATTTTAAAAGAAAACAATTTCCAAATAGTTCGGCCACTGGCTCCGGGGCCCATTGTTATGATTTACAGGGGGCCCGGGGGTTCTTTGCACCCCTAGCACCCCCGGCTGTTGCGGCACTGTACATGTACATTCTTACATATTGCCGTCATAATTTCACAGAAATAAACGTGGAACATACTTTGATAACTTATTATTTTTCCAATTAACATACAACATTATATTGTTCGTACTTTTTTCCTATTTATAGTACCAATGCATCTATTATTTAATTTTGATAAAATATTTTTTACCATGTAGATATCAATGATTATAAAATAAATTACAATTTAACAAATTAGATTTTTGTATTGCATCTTTGGTATAATATACATCCATACGTTTTGTTTATGAATATTTAATAAACAATTTAATTCTATTTTGCATGTTTTGCATTTTTTTAGTGCATATTTGCATGCATATTTTACAATTTAAAATGCAGATAAATTCGGCCTTTAGTAGGTAATACGTAAATAATTCAATGCCCAGAATAAATATTATCATTTATCATGGGATAATAATGGAATTAAATTAAACTCCAAACAATTGTGACAGTATTGAATACCTACTAAAAAGTTGAATACATGTTAAGTTTATTCGAAATGTATTACCACAGAAACAAGTAGCCAGATTGATGCTTGTTGAATGTTTATAAATATTATTATAGTACTAATTTAATAAATCTTCAAGTCCAGACACTTAAATAGTTTTTGATATTATTACATACAGTTTGTCTGTAAATAATGTTTAGTTCACTTAGAAAACAGTTTGTTAAAAGAATCGAACAATCAAGAATATGGTGTATAACTTCCAGGAACACTTCTCATAAAAATTATTGTGATATTGCCAAAGTAAGATTTAGTCTCACAATTTTAATAATACTGTTATGTCTGTTTCAAACTGGTGTGGCCACTGTGGCGTGGTGAAGAGTTTTAATACGAGAATGCTATTTATAGGAGTACCTACCTTCCAACCAACCATATTATGGCTGCTTAACCTTGCGGCAGTCCTTCTTACTGTTTATATAATACTTATTAAGTTATATGTTTAAAACCAGACTGTACTATGTGTCTACGTAATACTCGTATATATAAATGCACATATATATATAAATAATATAATATTTACTACACAGGTTTTTTTAAAAATTAAAGTTTAAAGCCTCGGTGTCTAAGGCCAATGCAGTGTCGGCCTGGGCTATGAAAGGCCTAGGCAGGGTTTTTTTTTAGGGCCTCAATTTTTTTATCAAAATTTATCTAAGATTGGGTTGAAATTGTGAAAGTCATGTTTTGTGATGTCTTACATACATATAAAATATATACATTATACATGAATATTTTTGTAGCATATTAATTAATGTATTATTGTTGAATACAAACTGTATAATATGTTCTTTATCAATCTCTATATCTTTCTTGACATTCATTAGCATTAATGGAGTTAAATGTTCTTGTCTTATAGAAGATCTTAATTTTGATTTAACTAACTTAAGTTTAGAAAAAACTCTTTCACACGTTACCTGAGTTGATGGTAGAAGTAGTACATATTTATACAAAACAAATAAATTATTAAAAGTATTGGAATTAAATGCAAGTTCTCTAATTGTGATATACGCACATGCAATGCATCTATTACATTTGTTACAGTCAATTGGTAAAATGTTTTCTTCATCAACATCATTATATAAATTTATATGTATTTATACATCGTATTATCGTTATATTGTATGAGTGTTATCATATTATGAGAAACATGTAGTCAGGGCTGGCCCAAGGTATTTTGATGCCCCGGGCAATTTTTTGGAAAGCGCCCTTAATCAAATGCTCTATAGTACCTACATTTAATACTTTTTATACATACCTACATATTTTGTTTTAAATTCTTATATTTATGGAGATGTAAAGGATTGCTAAACTTATTTGGATACAATTTATTTTTATTTTTTATAATTAATATGTATTCAGATTATTTCTTTAATCGTATACAATGTAATAAATATTATTAATAATAATTTTTTTTAAATAAACATTTTTTTGTATTGCTTCGTTTAGATCTAATTTAGAAACTATATCATTTTCTATACTGATTAATGTTAAATTGTTAAGATGTTCATCTGGCATTGTTGATCTCAAGTACGTTTTTATTGACTTCAACTTGCTGTAACTTCTCTCGCAGCTTGCAGTAGTTACAGGAATAGTCATCATAATTCTTAAAGCGACCCATAAGTTTGGTAAGGTATCTTGTAATTTGTTATCATTAATAAATGTTAAAATTTCCAATGGACAGCTATCTTTTTTAGAGTATAATGATCTTACAATGTCAATTTCATTACACAAATCTATACCATTCAAATCGCACTCTGTCTTATCTTTATTCTGATCGTTAAGTTTTAAATGTAGATCCTTACACAATATCCTAAAATAGGAGTAGATCCTTATACAACAGAATATTCTGTCGTGGATAATTTAGTCATTTAGGTATAATATTGTCAATACTCAATTTGAATAAATATTACGCTAAAATTTATGAATATTTTCATATATTAAAAGCGCCCCTAAAAAAGTATTGCCCCGGGCAACTGTCTGGTTCGCCCATATCTTGGGCCGGCACTGCATGTAGTATCCAAAAATAGAACAAAAATAATTTACGAAAAATAATAAATACTCGTATTTTTAAACCATTATGATGCGATAAGAGAATTTAATGTTGCATGACAACAAAACACCTAGAGAATACTTGTATTTTAAAAACAAAATTATTCCAATAAACCGAAAGTATTCAAATATTCAATGTTAATAAGTTTTTATCCTTTAAAATCTTTTTGCTCATTAATTGTATATATTTGTGCGAGACCCAATTACCAAAATTTAATCGCACATGTATGTAATGACTAATGACCTAAAGAGCCTTCAACAATACTTAGCACCCTAGGCTATTAAGTCCCCGTCCATCACTATTTGAGGTGCCTATGCTAGAATATATAAAAAAAAAAAAGGTGAGGGCCTCTGCCTTGCTGCCCTGGCCAGGCCGACACTGGGCCAATGGCTGCAACAAATTTACAAAAGTTTACATTATGTCTTACTATGCAGGTTTTATTTAGGCTAATATCCTTAAATTTTGTTCGTATTTTTTAGAAGTCCAAGTCTAAAAGTTTTACAATTGTAATGATACGGCATGGAGAGAGCGAATGGAATAAAAAAAATTTGTTCTGTGGTTGGTATGATTCCCATTTGAGTTCAAAAGGTAAATATTAAAATTTATATTGGTACAATATAGTTTAAATATTTACTTGAAAAAATTTAAGCAATTTTTATTATTTTAATATTAGATAAGTTCTTGTGCTCCGAAAAAAAATTCTTACACCCTTAACATATACAACATTAGTATGTATGGGTCATAATTAATTTTTTAAAAACCGTATACATTTTATTCAGTGGCTTTGAATTTATGATTTTTTCAAATCAAATTAAAATAAAAAAAACATTTTTTGCAACACATTTGAATGAAAATAAAATACTAATAACAATCCTTAGGATCTAGGGCTTACTTTTTAATTATAACTATTAAGTTATATTAATATTTAACTTTGTATAGCGTAGGTACCTATTATACAGGTATCGGACTATATGCCTGTACCTAATTCCAATGTAAGAACTAATGAGATTACTAGACAGTAGGGTCGAGTTAAGTAACAATTAATGGGCCATGGAAATGTTTTTTAGTTATTGTATTATACATGCATATTGTATATATGATTATTTTAGTCGAATATGTAGTATATTTAAAAATGGTCGATATTAACTAGTATTGTATACTAGTTTTGTTAAAATTTTAAAATATTTTATTGTATTTTTTAGGAGTAGAAGAAGCTATTACGGCTGGGAAAACGCTAAAACAACGTTGTTATCAGTTTGATGTCGCCTACACTTCCGTCTTGACGAGGGCCAAAGACACACTGAGTACCATTCTAAACCAATTAGATCAGACGAACATCCCAGTGCACACAAATTGGAGACTGAACGAGCGGCATTACGGAGGTCTTACTGGCCTCAATAAGTCCGAGACCGCGAAGCAGTACGGTGAAGATAAGGTATATTAAAATTCAACTCGCGGCGATCATGACATTAGTTATATTATCACAATCGTTATTACCTACTTGTTATTATGATGAATGAAATTTTCTTGTTTTCTTCTCCTGGACTATGCAAGGAAAAAAATAAATAATCATAATAGGTTTGTTTGTTGCAGGTCAAATTGTGGAGGCGCAGTTTCGACAGCCCGCCACCGCCAATGAAGGTTGATCACCCTCATTATAGTCACATAAAAAACAACCCCTGTTACGCAGACGGTCCAGCACAGTGTGAGTTTCCAACACACGAGTCGTTAAAAATGACGATAAAAAGGACGTTGCCATACTGGGATCGTATTATTGTCCCTCAGATCAAAAAAGAGTGTCGGATTATAATAGCAGCTCATGGAAATAGCCTTAGGGGCATAATAAAACATTTAGACAGTGAGTGAAGTAATATTGTTTTTATCAATCTCGGCTACGAGTTTGGGGATTCGGTCGACTGATTTGTTTTTTTAATTCTCACGACGAGTATAATATAGACAAACAGGTCCCCACGAACTTTACAAACAAATGAGTCAGGACACAATTTACAGCCATCACTGCAGACCTTTTCCATTATAACAGCAGATATAAGATACACTGACTAAAATTACGAAAATTCAAGTGCGTTTTTAACACATCCAATGTAAAACGTATTATTGTTAAGGTTGGGATTTCAACACACGTCGATATATAAGTGTTAGGTATTTCGGAATCAGAATAAGAAGTTTTTATTTTGCATTTTTTGACAATAATTTTTTATTATTTTTATTATTTACAGCATTTTAGAGTTTTAAGGCACTCAACTTAATAAAATCAGGGTTTTTCAATTTAATTTTAAGATTTTTACAAAAAAAGTAACTTTATAACGTGCTAACAAGTGTTACTTAATCAAACATTTTTGGCGTAATTTTTTGGACGGATTTGTATGAAGTAAATATCAAGATTATGAGTGCCGACTGCCGAGTGGTGGCAGCAAATCAATTGATAATAATGATTTTTTCATATTGAAAGTTCACGTAGAGTACTCTAACTGTTCAGTCTGAATATGTTGTTTAAAAAAAACGTATTAAGTTCATTTTAAAAGTCTATTATTATTATAATTTTTTAAGGCATACAAGAATTTTGCTATCGGATTTTTAGTTAAGTAATGCGTTATATTATTTTACAGACATCACTGACGAAGGGATTATGGGGTTGAACTTGCCGACGGGCATACCATTTGAATATACGCTTGACGAAAATTTAAAACCCCTGACTTCCATGAAGTTTTTGGGTGATGAAGAAACCGTCAAAAAGGCGATGGACGTCGTAGCTTCCCAGGGCAAAGCAAAATGATAGTTACTGAAGATAAAGAACTCGACGATTGTCAATTAAGCAGCTCCAGTACCGCAGCGTGTCCTTTGTATCGTCGTTTGTGATTTGTGTTAATAACTCAGTTTAAATGTTGTTAATAAGTGTTAATAAGACAGTTTGAGTTACAGTGGTTGTTTTTTATGTGATAGTACTATTATTTTAATGAGGGCTGTGGCGGGATGTCGAAACTGCGCCCCCACTATTTGAACTGCAATGGACGGACCTATCGACTTACTTATTCGTTCAGTCGCCAAGTCGTTGGTACTGCGTTGTCTGTCGGATCTGGTGTAGAATAATGGTACCTACTCAAAGTGTCTTGGTGCTTCTTCAAAATAGAAGTGTGACTGCACTACACCCGTCTTCTAAGTTCTGAATTCAACATAATATAGATATAATTGAGCCAAAATATTTATACCATAAAATTTTAATTATTATTAATTTAAAAATATTTAATCGAGAAGTCCGACAGTGGGAATGCTTTTCGATTCTTCCCTCGGATTACGCTCCATTGTATTTGAACCTCTGTTTCGCATCAGAGAAATCTCACTTTTGTTCCGTACGACTCTTCTCCTTCAATGTCTTACCAAGGGTCAATCTACACATTATGGAAAGAGCTACTCCTCCAAATACAGTAGTATACTATTTATTTTATAGTTCTATTTAGTCTCAAAGTATCACAACACATACTTTCTGTTACGTAACAACCACATAATCGTAGGATTAGGTTAAGTTAACTCGCCCGATTGCGGCTCAAAGTAAACTTTTTAACATTTCACCTTTTCCGAATTTTAAGGTTCAAAAAAAAAAAATTTTAAAAATATTTGATGGAATTTAAATTTAAAAATAAAATGGGAAGGGGGCCATGGGCGCCCATCGGCAAATGAATTGTAAGAATCAAAATTAAAAAAAATTATGAAAAAATGTACATTAAAAACAAATATTAAAGACTGCAGTCTACAATATCAGTATTCCTAAGCTCGTAGCTTTATTTACGATAATTAGAACATAAAGCAATGAACTTAAGTTAAATTATTGAAAAAAAAATTGAAGGGGATTATGGGCGCCCGCGGGCAAATGAATTTTAAGAATAAAAAAAAAATGTATGAAAAAATGTGCATTAAAAATAAATGTTGAAGACTGCAGTCTATAATATCTGCAGTATTTAAGTATACGAACCTAAACTCATAGCTTTACGCTATTTTATGTTTAATTATAGAAAAACTTGAAAAAATATGATCAGAGTTTTATTGACTTTACCTCAGTTTAATAAAATGATCTATTTATTGAATGAAGGTTATTATGGATACAAGGAATTATTGTTAAAGAGTTCTAAGGGCTCATTTGCGTTAAAGCTATTTTTTACTTATATACTTTTATGTTTGAATTAAAATAATATTGTGTTTCAAACTGTAACTAGCATACATTTTGAAAAAGTATACAAAAAATTCAAATATAGTAATATTTGTATTTTTGTTTAGGTCTTAATTAATAAGTTAGAAAAAATAGATTATGTGCAATGTGGAAAGGAGTCAGAAGAAAACATTTTGGGAATTCTAAGTCAATATTATTTTAATACACTAAACCTTATATTAAATTAAAACGAATGAATAAATAAATACTGATAACCTCACAATAACTCATCATAAGATTTTGTTACATATTTTGATACATTAGAATTTTTAAATCAGTTTTTATAATTTTTTGTGATAGACAAATCACTAATTAGTGTTGACTGTATTTAAGTTATTATTAATTAAAAGTACTGGTACAACGCTAGCCGACTGGCTTTAAAACTGTGGATACAAATTATGATACTTAATTAGGTTCTAATTTATCTTGGTAATATTTAAATATTTTCTTTTATTGTTATGCTTATACAATATCGAATTCCTTGGTAGTTAGTAGGAAAAGATCATTGCAATGCACTCGACCAGTGATGATAGTATACTACCACTAGCCTACTATCATCACCACAGCTTCAACTCTCCATAGCGCTTAGGCGTACTAACCTTTGTACAACTTATTTAACCCTCTGACTTAACAGCATAGTCGCGCGAGTTGGGCAGTATGGGGGGTGCTAGTTTAATCACCCCCGTTTGGCGCGCGACAGACAGAGGGTTAAGTGGGACCCTTAGAATAAAAAGATCCTTATTTGGTTTTCTTTTTTTGTGTCCGCTTATCAAGTTGAACTTTTTTTATTTAATTATTACAACTTGAAACAACTTGAAGCATACAACATATGCGAAAGGTGATAAAGACTTTTATATGTGCATCAACTTGAAAGTATGATTGGATGTACATTTAAGAAGTCACTAGTTAGTATTAATATTTTAGTAAGATTTTGTTTTATTTTTTGATAAATGGGTGCCCGCAGGCAAATGAATTTTAAGGATCAAAATAAAAAAAAATTATAAAAAATGTTGATAGGATTTAATTTTAAAAATAAAAATGGGAAGGGGGGCGTGGGCGCCCGCAGGCAAATGAGTTTTAAGAATCAAAATAAAAAAAATTTACATTAAAAACAAATATTAAAAACTGCAGTCTACAATATCACTATACCTAAACTCATAGAATTATTTTCAATTAATAGATAACAAAACAATGAATTTTTATAACTCACTAACTTGCTATCAAAATTTACAAAATGTTTTTAAAAAATTGAACTAGAGTAAAATTATAAAAAAAATTTGAAGGGGATCATGGGCGCCCGCAGGCAAATGAATTGTAAGAAACAAAATAAAAAAAATTAATAAAAAATATAATAGAATTTAAATTTAAAAATAAAAATTGGAAGGGGGCCATGGGCGTTTGCGAGCAAATGAATTGTAAGAATCAAAATAAAATAAAAATACAAAAAATGTACATTAAAAACAAGTATTATAGACTGCAGTCTACAATATCACTATGCCTAAACTCATAGTTTTATTTACAATACTAAGCTAATGAAATAATGAATATTTATGAGGCACTAACTGGCCATCAAAATTTAAAAAACGGTTTGGAAATAATTGAACTATAGTTAAATTAAAGCAAAAAAATGTGAAGGGGGCATGGGCGCCCGCAGGCAAAAGATTTTTAAGAATCAAAATTAAAAAAAACATGAAAAAATGTGTATTAAAAATTAATATTAAAGTCTGCAGTGTACAATATCACTATTCCTAAACTCATAGTTTTATTTACAATAATAAGCTAATGAAATAATGAATACTTATGAAGCACTAACTGGCCATCAAAATTTAAAAAACGGTTTGGAAATAATTGAACTAGAGGTAAATTATGGAAAAAAAATTTGAAGGGAGGCATGGGCGCCCGCAGGCAAATGAGTTTATAAGGAACCAAATAAAAATCATTTTTAAAAAAACTATTGATAAAATTTTAAATTTTAAAATAAAAATGTGAAGGGGGGCATGGGAGCCCGCAGGCAAATGA